GAGGGCAGTGTCACTGGCCCTCATATGTGGGATCCGAACCAGGGCCCTCTGGCGTCCCAAGCCAGTTCTTAACCATCGCGCCACTCGGCAGGCCCAGGAGAAGGAGTCTTTACTCCTCCCAACCCCTCCTGTGAAGGAGAGACTGTTTCATGATGTGACCACTGCCTGAACGTTGTTGGACCCTCGCGTTAGATCCCGTTAGACCCGGGACAGAATAGAGGCTGCTTTCTATAGCCCCCCTCAGAGACTGTCTGACCCACGTGGACCAGGCATGCTGGTTCCTGGGACAGGTCTTTGTCCTTCCCCAGGCAAGCATGTAAGGCTTTTTCTTCTTTTCTAGGGCAGGTCACACCCGAGTATCCCCCTGCACTCTGTCCTGTCTTATATAACCTCTTAGCACCTGCCACTCCGTGGGGAGGATATCCATGTTATCTTGCTGTCATTCGAGATAAGTCTCGTATGTAAATTCCCTTAATAAACTCATCATGTAATGCTGGAGTTGTCAGCCTCTTTCTTTGGTCTCTCACCCCCAGAAATTTTATGTAATCCCTCCCCTGAAGATGATCTGGGAAAAAGTTTGAGAGGGTAGACTGAAGCAAGATCTAAACTGGTCTGGACAAATCAGGAGTCTGAAGCTTTGTCTGTGGCTTTGTCCAAGGCCACCAAAAAACAGTTGACGTTCAATATACACATTCTACATATGATCCTGCTCTTGTAAAATATGTGTATAAAAAATTATATATATATATATATATATATATATGTACGTATGTATTTATCTCCATGTAAGCATGCATGCTTATGAGAAGTCCTGTACTATATACATAAAATTTTAAATGTTAATCTCTAATAATTGGTTTAGGTGGGGTTTTTCAATAATTGTTTTAAAGTTGAAAATAATTTTAGGCTTACAGAAAAGTTACAAAGATATTACAGTTTCTCACACAATTTCCTCTACTGCTAGCAGTTTACATTACATTGGTACTTTTGTCACAACTAATAAAAAAATATTAATTCATTTTTATTAACTAAGCTCTATAGTGTATTCAGATTTCCTTCACTTCATGCTGATTTTTGTTTTTCTCTTCAAGCTACTGCATTTCTTTCATTCATCATGTCTCTTTACTTCCTCTGGACTATGACAGTTTCCTAGAATTTCCCTGTTTTGTGTGATGTTGATAATTTTGAAGATTACTGTGCAGATATTTTATAGAACGTCCCTCGGTTTGGGTTTACGCGATGTTTTTCTCATGATTGGACTAGGGTTATGGATATGGGAGGAGGAGGACCACAAAGGTGAAGTGCCATTCTCATCATGTCGTATCACAGGTATACCTGCCTTATCGCTGTTGGTGTTGACTTTGATCACCTGGTTGATGTACTGTTTGCCAGGTGACTCCCCTGTAAAGCGAGTTTTCCCCTTTCCATGTCATACTTTTTGAAAACAAATCATTCAGTGTAGCCATTAAGAGTGTTTTTCATTTTTCTGTTACCTTATTAGTACTTTTTAAATATTTTACAGTAGTTGGGATTTACACTGCTCATGAGTGTGGCTAATAAAGCAGTTTTTAAAATAAAAAAGGCTTCTTGACTTCCCAGGCTGGGAAGGCCGGGGTCTGGATCTTCTCCCTGTGAGCCTCAGTGTCTTCATCTACCTGAGGTTTAACTTTATGTTCCCCAAAATACCGAGGATTAGGTTGGTTTGGCAGGTAGAGGTGGCACCCTCTTAGTTGGTTTTTCTCCACTGGTAAAGTAGCAGAGGTTGTGCGTTGTGGGTTGGCTGGGAGCACTGCTTTATGTTGTCCCCTTTAAGGGCAGTTTCATCTGTGATTGCCGAAGGCAGGAGAAAGGGAACACAGAGATTGTAGGCTGGCTCTTCCACTCGCATTTCATGGTCAAGTCACATGGCTACACCTAACTTCAAGGGAGCAAGGGAGTATGATTCTGTCTTTTGCCTGTAAATGGAACCAGAAATATTTGTTCAGCTGCACTACTTAATGCCCCAATAACCCTCAGTCTATCAGGAGAGACAGGACCTTTTGAGTCGGTCATTGGCAAACTTCTTTCCTTGCATGATTAGAGGGCTTGTTTTCTGATTTCACCTTTTCTGTTGTGTTGCCTTCGTCTTCGGCAGTCTCCCAGAGAGGGTGGGCATCTACAGTGGGTCCTACAGTAGTCAGTGGGTCCTACAGCCTTCTCTCCTGGGGGAGAGAAGAGATTTCGGGAGGCATGCTTGCACCCCCAAGGCAATGAGCTCTGAACCCTCCTCTTGGAAAAGCTGATATAATCTGAAGCTATGTTAACACATTGTGGACCGGTGACGCAGATTTATGTCTATACATTAAGGGGGAATGTTTCCAGAAGTATCACACCCTCAAGCACTACTAGGGTCTTTGGTGAGTATTTCCTGAAAATTTCAGTTCACAAAAATAGTTAGCTAATTTGTTACAAATTTTTAAAGAAACACAGTATAAAAGTTGATTTCAATGGTTTAAACCCTGGGAACATGCATTTAAGCAATTTAAATGTCTCGTCCTCAATGTATTTTAATACAAGGAAGATGATAGTTCTGGCAGAGAATGGTATTAATTGGACTAGTTTGTTCATGCACTCATTCATTCATTCAGTCATTCAGTCAACACTCATGCCTAGGACATTCCAGGTCTAAAACACTGTGATTTTGGTGCCAACTTTCAACAGGAATGTTGACCAATTGAGGGTCCCCAGAGCAGGGTGACCATGATGGCAATGAACCTGGAGTTCTGTCCTGGGACAACAGCCTGACAGAATAGGACGAGTTTAATTGTAGGAGAGGAGGTAAAGAAGAATATAGTAAAAGTCTTCAGGAAGGGCTGATGGGTGGAAATGGATTACATTTGTTAGGTGGTTGCTGATGGCAGGAGTTGAATCAATGGGTGAAAGTTATAAGCAGGCAAAAAAATAAATAAATAAAATAAAATAAAAAAGGCTTCTTACTGGTCCTGCTGCCATTACCCTGGCCCATCCATTGTTCTCTTCAGTACAGCAAGGCCTAACTAGACAAGTTTAATGTAGACTGGAATGCTTGAGGTGAGTCTTATCACTACTGATGCTAATAGGATGGTTCCTGAGGTTTTAGAGTTTAATGACGAGGCTCTGGCTTAGACTGTGCTCTGCAATGGCTAATCCAACTGACCTTACCCCTTATCTCCTATCTCACCTCAAGTTTAGGGAGGAAATCCATGAAAAATATTTACATTATACATTCTGAAAATAGAAGTATATGTTTAAAAGATATTCTAATGAGTTCAAAAAAATTTTAATTCTGGTCAGCTGAGTGGCTCAGTTGGTTAAGAGCTCGCTCAAGGGTTTGAGCTCTGAGCAACAGCAGTTCAAGTCTGGCCCAAGCTGAGCTGCCACTGAGCTGCCAACAGGTGGCAGGATGGCTCAGCTAAAAAAAAAAAATTTTAATTCAACAAAAATCACGCAAAATGAATTTGTTGTGTGTCTCTACAAGAAAACAAAATATTCCTCTTACTTTCTTTTAATTTGTAAATGAGAAATGTAAGATTATATTAAATAAGTAATTTAACATGATAATAATATTCTCCATTTTAGCATCATGACTGGTTAGGGAAACAGAATGGAGGAGATAAGGACAAAAGAAGTGTAATATAAAGGGGAAAAGAGAGGGGTCAAAAGAACACAAAAAATACATATAGAAGTGGTGATAAAAGTTTAAAAATATACATTGAGAAAGATGAGATGATGGTGACAGCTATTACTATAGTCATAATAAGATAGGTATTTTACACTAAAGAGAAGACATAAAACTTCCTTTGCCTAAAAACGTATTAAACTCACTATTCTTACAAAAGATACTATTCCACTTTCTCAATTTTTCCCTAACTGCGTGGAAGACTTGCCCATACGCACTACTCCCTCCTGTCATAGTCCACTCATTCCTCAACCCACAGTAATGTGGCTTCTGTGCCACTTCATTGATCCTGCTCGGCCAATAACCTGCAAGTTGTCACAGAAAACAGATACTGATGCCCTTCCATCTGGCTCCCCATCTACTTCTGTGACCATCACCCATGAATCATTTTGTAGAAGGACCTTCACACACTTTTTATTTTGATGGTCTGTAGTGTTTATGATTCATCTACCCTTGTTCCCATCTTCTCTCATTGGACAACCTCTTTAAGTCTCATAACGTAAGCTTCCAGGAGATTCTGAGTATGTATGTAGCATATAAAGCCAATGATCTTATCTTTTGCCTCAGGCTTTGGAACCTTCTTGGACTTTGAAGCCTTGTTGTCCATCCGCCAGTTGAACACATTTTCCTGAGTTTTCCACTGACCACTCAAAATCCTGATGTATAAAATAGAACCCATTCCTTTTCTGGGCACATTGCAGTCACATCCAAGTTGGTGCGATTAGAAACCAGGCAGCCAGTCAGGCAGAGATATGTGGTGATTTTAAGGCACGAGGAAATGCAAGGTGAAGAGGGCTGATGGTAATTTGCAGATGTGTGTGAAGCAGAGACCTGAAACAAGGGTGAGCTCAGAGTGTTTGGTGTCACGGGGAAGGAGCCAGTGGCCAGGAGAGATATGCGGAAGGAAACATGGAGGAGATAGGAGGACGCTGCATGCACTTTCGGAGCACATGTAGGGGGTGACAGGACCAGAGGTGCCAGGGGAAGGAGAAGGTGAGTGGACACCACAACTGACAAAGGAATTAGCAGTTAGTGAGATTTCCACTCCAGCGATTTTCCTCGAAACCTATTGCAGAAATCTTGACCTTTACAGCAAAAGCTTGAAACCTTCAGGCCCCCATGAAACAACTTCCAAGCCTTACACTGATTAGAACAGTCCAATTCAGTGTGGTTGTAGCTCCATCCATCTGGAAGAGAAGGACATTCATACTCAGTACCAGAGAACAATACATGGAGCTCAAGTAGGAGGACCTTCCCCAACCAGACCAAGCCTCGTCTCCAGACTACAGACACATACCCTTCCCAGCAAGGGTTCCATCAGACTGGAGAACCTCCCTGCACAGTGTCCGAAGTCAGGTGTCAGCTCAAGGCAGTAGAGCCTGGCTCAACAGCATTACCTCTCTCATTGAAAAAGTAGAGGTCCCTGGTTCTGCATCCACGGCCTTCCTCCACGGTGCAGTTGCCATTGCCTTCCATACATTTGCCATTCTTAAAAATCTTGCAGACCATACACAATGTGGCTGGAGCTGCGGAGAAACAGACGTGAAGGCTGAGCTTGGGGTTGAATGGGCTGACATAAGGTGTGTTAAGACACACTAGGACCCAGGAGTCTAGGGACAAAGCATGACTCTAAATACTTCTATCACAAATAATTTGGGGCAGGAAATATCCCCACTAGACTACATCCATTGGATATTTAAGGAAATGGGGTCTTTGACATGGGGATCTCAAGATCCATTAAGAATAAATAACCTTGAGCTGGCTGAGTGGCTCAGTTGGTTAAGAGCTTGCTCAAGAGTTTGAATTCTGAGCAACAGCGGTTTGATGCCTGGCCCGAGCTGAGCTGCTGCTAAGCTGCCAATAGGTAGCAGGATGGCTCAGCTGAAAAAAAAAAAAAGAATAAATAATCTTGTGTACACTATAAGGGTGAATTGTATGGTATGTGAATTATATCTCAATAAAGTTGTTCTAAAAAAATAACTTTGAACAACAATATGGATGTTAACTGAGAGCTGATTTGGGAGATACCGGGAGGTGAGATAAGGGAAAAAGATATGGTTCTAACCAGGCAAGTGAAATTTCCAACCTTGTTCCTAAACAACACTGAGAGATTATGTCTCCTTAATTTTTGTTGCCTTGGAGCCTGGTTGAACTTCCCCTAATACCAGTTCTGTGCTCACATGCTCATAAAACCTAGGAGAGTTTCACAAAGTAAATCGTCTCCTCTTAGCTGTGGAGCCATGTGCAGAACACAATAAGAGAATCTATGTACAGCCACCCCAGGGCCAGGATCTCTGGGGAAACGGATGGAGTATAAGGACTACACAGCTTGAAGATGAAGAGGCAGATTTTAGTCTCCAAAGATTTCCTAGCACAGCACCAGAAGATATCAACAGGACACACAGGTCTAAGTGAAAAGAGTGCTGTGAAAATATTGGTACCAGATAAGCCCTTCAGTGACCTGCTCCTGCTAAAGCATTGCTCCGAGGCTGCTTCTTTATAGAAAGTCTTGAGCAACCATTGGCTGCCTCTTAGGGCCATCCCAGCCAGCCCCAGGGCCCTAAATTGAGAAGAACCCCCAGCATAATCTGCCCCAACGGAGTGACTCATCGTACTTGACACCTTGCGCAGGGACTTGAACCCTTTCCGTGGGACAGCAGAGACAGAACTCAAACTCTGGCGAGTCAAGTCATCCCAGAACCTTATCCTTGACCTCATTCCCTTCCAAGCTGCTCAGATCGTCATCCTGGGACTGCTCGCCCCTCTCTCCACGTCCTCACCCCTGCCCAGCTAGCCCAGGGCCTCACCCACTCCTTGGAAGAGCTCGAAAGAGAAGACTCCCAGAAGCAGGAGCAGGAGCAGGAGCTTGTCCATCTCAGTCTGGGATGGTGGGGAGATGCAGAGGGGGCTGGAGCAGAAGAGCAGAGTGCCCAGGAAGGGCTAGGACAGGCTTCTCTAGTGTGCAGATGAGAGAAGTCGAGATCTGGACTCAGCTGCTCCTGGGCTGTGGGCAGAAGCTTCCTTTTACACACTTGCCAGTGGGTGTTTCACTGCCATCGAGGCCCAGGAAATGTTCCCACAGAACCACACCCGCCCCCCAGGATACTTCTGAAGATGGAGGGTGTCCCCAGTGCCCCTTCCTATTCCCTTGAGGCTGCCTCCTGACAAGGGGGGACATGATGCTTGATCAGGTCATCCAGGCCCCTCAATAATCTACTCTCTGGACATCCCGCTTCCCAGGCCCAAGAACAGGGGCTCTAATGTGGACAGGGCTGTGCTGAAATACCCATATCCCCTTCCAGTCCTACGTCCCAAGCCAGTCCACAACGTGGGCTGACACCCTGCCTCAGGTCTCAGGAAACTTTCATCGCAGGTGCAGTCTGTGCCTTCTGCCTCCCCTTCCCTGTCCCTGTGTTTGTGCTCATAGATAGAACCAAGACCCAGTGTTAAATATATTAATATTTGTGACATTTTTTAAAGACAGTAAGGTAGACTTTATTCAAGTGGACGATGACAATGGGGTTTTGTAGTAGGGGAGAGAGATTGAACTAAACTCTGAATACAACAAGGACAAGTGCAGATTTACAACCAAAACGTAAGGTGGGGGTGGTCAGTGATACAAAATTACTAAGAAGAAATATCAGATATCAAAGTGGAGGGTTTTAGTAAACTGACCCAGCAGGATTCCTGCTAAACTGGAACTAAACATGTCAAGGACAGGGCCCAGACCAGGAAAATATCAGAGAGAGAATTCAGAGTACCTTGACTCAAGTTCAGTGAAAGCAGAGAGTTTTTGTCATCTCTCAGTACAAAACCATTGTTGGCAATCATGAGAGCAGCTATACATAAGAACAAACACTTATTATTTTCTATAAACCAGATCTACATCCTCTGCTACCGTGCAGTACAGCATTTAAGATATATCTTTAGCCTGTCATAAACACATAAATATACTACAAATACTATCCAAACAACAAAATATAGAGGCCTTAAATATAGATAGATAGCTAGGTTATTTCATAAAGTATAAAGCAATTCCTACCATATTCAACTCACTTACCTTTGTAGCCACTAAAAACACAGACCCATGTTCACCAAGAAGGATGTATATAGACAGAGGTTCTTGTTGATTGCTCCAGGACTTAGTTGGAAGGTTCAGACACGTCTTCATCATTGTGAACTAACTAGGGTGAGGAACACGAAACAAGTAGGGTGCAAAATATTTTTCAGATTTTTTTAACTTTATTGGGGAGCAGTGTGTTTTTCCAGGTCCCATCAGCTCCAAGTAAAATTGTTTTCAATCTAGTTGTGGGGGGTGCAGCTGAGCTCCAAGTCAAGTCATTGTTATTTTTTTCAATCTAGTTGTGGAGGGCACAGCTCACTGGCCCATGTGGGAATCGAACTGGCAACCTTGGTGTTATGAGTCTGTGCTCTAACTACCTGAGCCAACCAGCCACCCCCAAGTTTTTTTTATAGTTTTCTACTTATATTCTATAAGTGTCTTCAGCTTACTAATCATGCTTAATAAAAATAGCCCAGCCCCTACCAGAGTGTTTATGCTTGGAGATCCAATCAAGGGAAAGAGAAAGACCCTGGAGCAAGATCCCAATGAGCAGATTGGGGGCTGGAGAAAATGTTCTGGGCTGTGGGGGCAGTCTCTCTTTTCTCTCTCTCCTTCTCCATCTTCTCACCCCTTTCATGAATGAGAGACCTAGTTCACCAGTAAACCGGAAGCACTGGGCACAATGCATGGTCAGGGCAGGGACTCAGTAACTACTTCCAGCTAAACAAAGAATGATGGAACATGTAAATGCATGCATGAGGGTCGGCCAGCCCAGAAAGCACCTAGGGGAGGGACAGGGCCAAGAATCCCCAGGCACCCACAGACTGAGACACCAGCTGCACCCCACACTGGAGAGCAGGGCTATTTGCATGAGAGCTCCCCTTCACCGCCTCCTCCAGAAAAAAAAGATCATGCACAGGAGACTCTGGAGGAGTGTGGGGTGCATGAATAAATAATAATTTTTTTGCACAGTCCCAAAACCAAGTAACTTTGCTGAGTAAGCCAGGCAGGACTTTATGTTAGTCCTGCCTCCCTAACAGGGCCTTGGAACTCCAGGAGTACTCACAGTTCCCCAAGGATGACATAACCCTCATCATAATTGTGCAAGACAAGTAGGGGAGGAAGGGTAAAATGAAGGAAACAGGAGATAAGCAAATTATTGAAGCTGTCAAAGAACAACTTTGCTCTTGCGTAGCTTTATTTTACTGACAATACGCTGTGCTGTGCAAACTTGAAGAATGTAATAATAATGATAATACATAACACATAATATGATATCGGAAAGGGATAGTTATCACAGAGGAACTTAGGAAAAGAGGGTGAAAAGAGAGTGAATAACAATCTGGCAAACCCTTCCTGTGGGAATATATGCTCCACGAACATCCTGATGGTTTCCTAAGGAAAGCAGAGTGATGGATCCTTTATCTGGAATCTTTTAGCATGATGTACCTGTTCTATCTAGGTCGCTTACAAAACACACAAATCTTCTTTAAAAGATTCATGGGATGTGGCCCCACTACAAAATATCTGTGACAGCTATCTAATAATAGTGAAATAAAACTGAGATGCTGTATGACTGAAATAGTTCCACTTCTATGTCTGATAGCACACATGAATCATTTAGAGACGTCCTAAGTTCAATCTATACCCACAAAGGCCGTGATCACCTCACAGAAGAATATACAGCCCCAGATTCCTCGTTGTCCTTCCTTTAACTACTCTGTCCTGTAAAGATTCTTTTTTTTTTTTTAAAGATTGTATTGGGGAATTGGGGAAGGGGAACAGACAAGTTGCTGTCCTTTTGTTCTTCAGTCTAGTAGTGGAGGACGTCGCTTCACTGGTCCATGTTTGTATTGTGATCATTGTGCTCTTTCTGGCTGAGGTAGTCAGTCGCTGGCCATTGGACAGCCACTCACGATGGCTCACAGCAGCTCACGGCAGCCCATTGTAGCCCCATTGCAGCCTATGCCATCGCCGGCGACTCACAGCAGCCCAGCTCCAGGTCATGCTGTTGTTCACCATCTTAGCTGTAGAGGGCGCAGCATCACTGGGCCATGTGGGATCCGAACTGGCAGCTCTGCTGCTCAGAGCTCGTGCTCCCAAGCCAACTCTTGACCAATGAGCCACTCAGCCTGCCCCTGTAAAGATTCTTAAAAACCATTTTGTAAATGATCTATATCAGGTTGTACTGGAAGATACTTGTCATTTTTAATGGTGGAGTTATGCCGGATGCCACATGCATGTGCCTGAATGATATGTAGTGGAAACTTTCTGGCTTTTCAAGAGAAGAGGCTGGGGAGGTCCATCAGGAATTGAGAGCTTGGTAGATGTAATATATTAAATTTGTCTGAGGGGCCCTCTCCAGACTCCTAAAGTTGGGAGAGATATAACAGTTCTAATTCATGACTTTAGTCAAAGCTCACTTACTAAGTTATCCCTTTTACTCCTAAAATGCCCCAGTCT